TTTCTGAGCCCAGCTGTTTCCCCGAGCCCAGCTCCACAGAATCACATGGGGTTGGAAGGGACCTCTGGAGATCACCCAGTCCACCCCCCTGCCAAAGCAGGGCCACCCAGAGCAGGTCCCACAGGAATGTGTCCAGGTGGGGTTTGAATGTCTCCAGAGAAGGAGACTCCACCACCTCCCTGGGCAGCCTCTGCCAGGGCTCTGCCACCCTCACAGCAAAGAAGTTCCTCCTCATGTTTAGGTGGAACTTCTTATATTCAAGTTTGTGCCCATTTCCTCTTGTCCTATCCCTGGGGGACCACAAGTTCCAGTTCTCCCGCTGTAGGTGGCCACGTTCAGGGGTGACACAGAGCTGAACAAATCCCCCCTCTGGGTTCCCAACAGCCCAAAGGCAGGCTGTGAGGCCAGGGCTTGACCCGCCGAGGGAAAATTCTGGCCGTCGGGAAGCGGCAGCGGGATGCAGGGGAAAGCTGCGGGGATGGGGTGGGATGCTCCTTCAGAGCAGTCCAACCCCTTGCCCCTCTTCCAGCCAACTTGTCCTGCGGGGACGGGAGAGCAGAGAAGCAGGGAAGCATCCCTGCACCATTCCGTGGCTCCTTCCAGCAATCCCAGGGGCAGAGTGCTGCCTATTTTTAGCTCCCGAGGCAGCTGAAATATCACCGTGATATTCATTAACGAAAACCCCATCGGATGGGAGCCACAAGGTGGGGGGGGGAGGCGGGGTGAAGGGGCCGTGGGTCTGTTTTATTTTGCTTTATTTAATTGCTGGGCTTGGGTGGAAAGGCAGAGCGTGGGGGGAGGCTGGGCTCCTCTCACCTTGGGAAAAGCGGGAGCGCCAGACCCGGGGGAGGTGGGAAGGGGAAAAAGTCAATCAGGCAGTATTTAAAAACCTACCTGCTGGGCCCAGGGGGGGCTGGAGGTTTTAATGTCACTCCCAGCTTGAGACGCAGCCTGGAGAGTGAGAAAAGAAAGGACTATCTGCTCTTCTTGGAGCCTTAATTGCTCGTTAAATTATCTAACAAATGCCTGAACTCCTGGATGGCCCCACGCTCCTTGACAGAGGGGCTTCATCCTTGGCAGGGGGGAGGAGTGTTTTTAAAAATATTCACTTCACCTACTTTTTCTGCCTCTATAAAATTGAGGGTTCAGTGGTTCACTCTGCAAAATAGAACTAAGCCTGGGATGTTTTTATGACCATTCACCTACGAGCCCCTTCCAGCCTCGATCGCCTCTGGGCTGCCCTGCCCTGCAGGAGGACAACCTCTCCCATCCCCAGAAAGGACCCCCGGTGACTGCAGAGGAACATCTACCACAACAACCCCCTGCCCTACGAGCTCAGCCCTGCTTCTGGCCCAAGCACACCCCATAACCACAGCCAGATATGCCTGTCCCTGGTCACTCCCGTTCCACCCCCTCATCGCTCTTCATCCATGTCATCTGCTCAAAGCCTCCTGCCTTGGGGCCTCAATCCCAGGGGACAAACACAAGACTCGGTGGTGGAGAAGGTGAGGCAGCCATTTCCCAGCACAGGAATCAGAGAATCACAAAATGATATGGAGTTGGAAGGGACCTCTGGACATCATCCAGTCCAACCCCCTGCCAAAGCAGGGCTACCCAAAACAGGTCCCACAGGAACGTGTCCAGGTGGGTTTGAATGTCTCCAGAGAAGGAGACTCCACTACCTCCCTGGGCAGCCTCTGCCAGGGCTCTGCCACCCTCACAGCAAAGAAGCTCCTCCTCAGGTTTAGGTGGACCTTCTTATATTCAAGTTTGTCCCCATTTCCTCTTGTCCTATCCCTGGGCACCACCGAAAAAAGACCAGCCCTGTCCTCCTGACACCCTCCCTTTGAGTATTTATAGGTATTGATCAGATCCCCCCTCAGCCTTCTCTTCTCCAGACTCAAAAGACCCAAGTCCCTCAGCCTCTCCTCGGAAGGGAGATGCTCCAGACCCCAAATCATCTTTGTAGCCTCTGCTGTCCCCTCTCCAGCAGTTCCCTGTCCTTCTGGAACTGGGGAGCCCAGAACTGGACCCAGTGCTCCAGATGGGCAGATCTGTGACTTACACCTATTGTCCATCCCCCCCAAGTAGTCAAGATAATGTAGAGAAGACCTCCCTCCTACCTGACTAAAAGCATTGGGAGCTTTTTCTGCACCACACATGCACAAGTAATGGGACCATGCCAGATCTCAGCCCCGAGCGGACTGGCCATTAGCAGGTTTTGTGTCATTTAGAGTCTATGAAAAGAGTGGAATTACAGCTCCAGCAGGGCAGGCGGACCATACTGATGATTTATGAATATTCACTGAGCTCACGAAGCACTCCGGGACAGAAAACAAGCTTTTGAAATTAACTGAACTCCAAGGCTCTTCGTTTGTCTTGGTTTTGAGGTGTGAGTCACCAATACTATTTCTCAGAAATGAGCAGAGTCTGTACAGACGGCTGGGAGGACTCCTGGGCACTAAAATATGAAGTTAAGTATTCTGCAAGAAAGACTTTATGTTCATAAAGTCTTCAAAGCATGGAAACTCCACCCCATTAAGTTTTATGGGACGGTGTCTCCATATGGCAGTGAGATTTCTGCAGTTTGTAAAGATGGGGTGTTCAGGGGGCCTGAGGCTTTCTCTGAGCCTTGAAATCTCCAGCAGCTTCAGTCTCCAGTGCCAGCAGTTTGGTGCCCTGCAACTGTTCAACAATTTCGGTGTTCAAAAAAATGCCGTGATCCCCTCCACTCAGCTCTGGGGAGACCCCTCCCAGTGCTGCCTCCAGCTCTGGGGCCACCAACAGCAGAAGGACATTGGAGTGGGGCCAGAGGAGGCCACAGAGCCTCCTCTGCTGGGAGGGGGTGCTGAGAGAGTTGGGGACGTTCAGCCTGCAGAAGAGAAGGCTCCGGGGAGACCTTCCAGCCCCTTCCAGTCCCTAAAGAAGGGGGGCTCCAGGAAAGCTGGGGAGGGACTCTGGATGAGGGAGGGGAGCCCTAGGAGGAGGGGGAAGGGTTTGACCCTGCAAGAGGGGAGATGGAGCTGAGCTGTGGGGAAGAACTTGTTGGGTGGGAGGGTGGTGAGAGCCTGGCCCAGGTTGGCCAGAGAAGCTGTGGCTGCCCTATCCCTGGAGGGGTTCAAGGGCAGGTTGGAGGGGGCTTGGAGCAAGCTGGTGTGGTGGGAGGTGTCCCTGCCCAGGGCAGGGGGTGGCACTGGGTGGGCTTTAAGTTCTCTTCTATCCCAAACCGTTCCATGATTCCCTGAATTCTCCTGGCATAGTTTGCTCCCTGGCTGGTGGAAAGCACAACCTCTTCAGGTGCAAATCCATCTTTAGAGCTGCCTTTTTTTTTTTCTTCTTTTTTCTTTTTTTTTCCTGATGCCTCTGCTTTCAGCTGCCATTTCAGGCTTGATTTCTGAGTGATCAACAGCACAAAGGATCCTTGAAAAGGATCCCTTCCAACCCAAACCATTCTATGATTCTCTGCAGGCCACATCATACACCTTGTCATTCTCCCCCATGCAATTAGGTTATTGTGGTGCTCTCCAACGTTGGCTCTCCTCCACTTCTAATTGTAGCCATGACTGAAGAAACAACCTGCTTGCTTTGCCAAGAAACCTGTAACACCTTGTCCCCAGTGCTCAGACGGTCCCCAGGGAGAGTGACCCATTTGGCAGTTGGGCTGTTCCCGTCAAAGCTGCTGGATCTGACCATCAGACAGGAGCACCTGGTTGAAGCCAGGAAGGATGTGGAAGCTCCTCCAGTGGTGATGCATGGGCTCCCCAGGACCTGCACACCCTGCTGCAGGGGGCTTTGTGCTCAGGAGATGGGTCACTGTGATGGACCGGGGGTTGTTGGTCCATGGGACAGGGACAGCAGAGCGTGGGCACTGCCCACACTCCTCTTTGCAACACTCCTATTGTTGTCTAAATCAGCGTTTGCTGATTTAGACCAAAGAACCTGGAAGGTGAAGACTTCCACCCGTGTTTGTCCAAGAATGGGGCAAGGAAAGGTAATCAAACAAGGAGGTTTTCTTCACCGGTTTGCCCTAAGCACAAAGAAGGAAGAAGAGCTCCTCTTTCCCAATTAATTATAGCAATGATAGAAAAATCCTGCAAATTAGCCAACACCCCTGGGGTTTCGGGTGTTGGGGAACATCCATTTACTGCAAATCAAGCAGAGAGGGGGGGGTCATGAATTTTGGTGTCTTGATCCACAGCTGAGTGGGGCGCTGGCCACTGTGGGCTATTCCAAAGCTGTCTGGATGTTCCCATCCTAAATCTGAGACATCCTCCGGACCTGAGTTGTGTTCAAATGCTATACTGTAGGAAAAGCTGCACTTCCAGAGAATCACATTTTTCTCACCAAGGCAAAAAAAATAAAAATAAAAATAAAAGGTTCCAAAGGGAGAAGGGCCAGCTGGCCCTGCCCTCACTGCCATCCTCCTGAACTGCAGGAGATTCCTCTCCCTCTGAGTCACAAAGCACAACAGCCGGCCAAAGGTGGGCTGTGTGAACAGGAATCAGCCCCTGTGGCAGGGGCTCGGAGCAAAGAACAAGAATTCAGGAAAAGCAATAAAAAAATTTATAAAAAAACCCCACGTTTCCGGCACCTTTCTGCAGTGCTTTCTGCTGCAAACGGCCCCTGCTTCAGCAAGGTTATGCTCTCAGCTAAAACGGGTACCGTTGCAGGATAAGCATCACTTTGCTAACGATTTAAGATGTGTTTGTACATGGACGGATTTCCTCCTGTTCCCCAGTACGGGCAGCGCTGACTGGTTTGGGTGCCGAGCAGAAATACATGTTGATGTGAGGTGAATTGCACAAATAAATGACCTCTTTCCGGGCGGCTTCCTTGCTCCATCCTCCTTTTTGCCCTTTTTCTGCTGGATCATCCTAAAGCCCCGTTCCCAAGAAACGCAGCCTCTCGTCTCCTGGTGGTTTGGGGAGCGGTTTCCCAAAGCTCTGGCTCCCCATTTTGCCGTGAGCGTCTGCGTGACCTCTTGTTTCTCTGCTCCCCAGGCTGATGCCAAGATGGTCTGCGATGTCGTAAGTCGGATGGAGGACACAGAGCCCTTCTCTCCAGAGCTGCTGTCAGCTATGATGAGACTCTGGGCAGACTCCGGGATCCAAGAATGCTTCAACCGGTCCCGGGAATATCAACTTAACGACTCGGCCCAATAGTGAGTATCCCTGTCCCGTGGTCTTACGTGTTGAGAAGCTGCGTTTGGGATTGTTAAAGTTTTAACTAACGTTACTGACCTCATAGCAGTGCATCTGAACACGGTTCTGCTTAAAGGCCGGGTGGTCTTTTTAGTCTGGAGAAGGGAAGGCTGAGGGGGGATCTGATCAATGCTTATAAATACTCAAAGGGAGGGTGTCAAGAGGATGGGGCCGGTCTTTTTTCAGTGGTGCCCAGGGACAGGACAAGAAGGAATAGGCACAAACTTGAACATAAGAAGTTCCACCTAAACCTGAGGAGGAACTTCTTTGCTGTGAGGGTGGCAGAGCCCTGGCAGAGGCTGCCCAGGGAGGTGGTGGAGTCTCCTTCTCTGGAGACATTCAAACCCCACCTGGACACGTTCCTGTGGGACCTGCTCTGGGTGGACCTGCTTTGGCAGGGGGTTGGAGGAGATGATCTCCAGAGGTCCCTTCCAACCCCATGTCATTCTGTGATTCCGTGCGCCTTGTCTCACAGGCTGCTGCCAGGCAGAAAGGATCAGGCAGGACATTCGTGTCCCCTCTGGGGACAGTGTGGGGTCAGGTCTGTCACCTCGGGGCCAGGTTCCCAAAGTGCTCCCCCAAAGGGAGGTTTCTACAAACAGGGATCTAGTGAGCAGAGGCAGCCCAACCCCTGGCGGTGGCTGGTGGCTTCCTCCTTTGTCTGATAGACGACAGAAGGGTGTGAGGACCTGCTCGTACAGCTCTTGGGTTGGCTTTTCTGCCAGTCCTGCCCTGTGCTGATAAAGCCGTTGGATTGTACCCGAGGGTAAAGGTCCACTTCGCTTTTCCAGCAGCGTTGTGTCATTCTCATAATTAATACAGTTGGCGGCATCTCTGCCATTCGGGACCACAGCCAGGGTTTGTTGGTGGTTTTTTTTGATGGTGGTGGGTTGTCTGAATCCACGGCTTTGGTTCATCCCATCATAAGGACAGGACATTTACCCATCAACAGCTTCTCTGGCTCTGAAGAAATGTCGAGTCCTTCCCCGGTTTCGGTTCAGACCCATTCCTCATCCCTCCAGTTAAGTGGATAATACACCCAATCTGTTTCCCTCCACCTAGGCAAGGAGGCTAAAGCTTTTCATCCTATAGTTTCTGTGCTGTTGCAGTCAGGCAGAATGTCCCCCTGGACAGCAGTGAGTGTCCCCTTGGGCAGTAGTGACTAAAACATGGTTGAGTATAAGGAACAAGCAAGCACAGGGTGATCCTTTTCCCAGTTTATACCTTTGGACATCCCGGTAGCCAGGGAAGTAGAGGCTTACCCACATAGTGACAGAAGATGCTCCATCCATGCTTTTGGCTTTCACGGTATCCCGAGTCAACAAGTTCTCCAGTTGACTCACGCACTTATAGAGCTGTTATTGCCTGTTTGGGTTGTCTGGCATCTCTGCTTGGAGTTTTCCTGGATATCTATCAAAACACAGACCCAAGCACCGGCGTGGCTGGTGGTTTTGTTCCTTGTGGTGGGCCTGCTCGTCCCCCAGCCTGCTCCAGCTCCTCCATCCAAGCTGGCAGGGCAGGTTGGGGACCGGGGGATTGTTTCTGCTCTTGCAGTGCTGCAGCAGAAGGCGAGTGATGACACATCACTTGGCAGGGACCGAAAACTGAGCGGGAAGCCTGCAGATGTGCGGTTGGTGTCACAACATCCTACCCAACCATTCCTCACCACGAGCGACTACAGCTCGGTGATGATCCTGACATTATGCTGCCTTTTAATCACTACTAGGAGGACATCCACGTCTCATCTATATTTCTTTGCCTGCAATACCAAAATCAGCCTTCTCTTGACAGCGATCTTCTCTCTCTTCTCTTCTCTTCTCTTCTCCCAGTGATTTCTTCTTCTTCTTCTTCTTCTTCTTCCCTTCCCTTCCCTTCCCTTCCCTTCCCTTCCCTTCTCCTTTTTCACAAAAGAAGGGTCTGATGGCAAAAACATATCTTTAGAGAGATATAAATTATATGAAATGCAGTCCTAATTGTATTGCGTCCTTGCGGAAAAATTCTTCAATTGTTTTAGAGCCAATTACCTTGAAGAAAGTATTTTGATTTTCCTTCCATGCAAGATAACATTTGAAAATAACAAGCATAGCCCTCCCTATGTGACCAGCTGCTGGGCGATTGATCAGCCAGAGCTCTGAAACCATGAGAGGTTTCGAGGTGTCAGCCGAAGAGGCTCTGTGCCCCGGTATTCACGGCAATATCATTTGAAAAAATGAATTTTGGGGTCTTTGACAAAAATCTCTTGCATCTGGAGAAGGATGCAAGATGCTCTGTGAGATGGGCTGTGCTGCCTCTCTCCTTGGCCGCGCCGTGAGTCGTGCTGGGGCTGGACGCTTGGTTCCTCTGGGCTAGGGTCAGATGGCCAAGCTGAAGATGACAGAGTCCTTGGCGTTTAGGGACCTGCTGCCGTTTGGGAGCCTCTGGTGGCTCCGTTGCCAGGAGCAGAGATGCTGTCACAGGGGAGGGCACTGTAGCACGTCCTGCTGCACCTCAAGGCCCTGGTGCCATCGCACCAGATGGTGATGCAAGTGAGAGCTCAGTTGGCACTTATTCACGCCCAGTGGACACCCAGGGAAAAGAGGCATATTTTTCATTTAATCCTTCAATGCTTTGGGGTTGTTTTCTTCTGCATGAGCGAAAGATTGGAGGCAGTTTTCTATTTTTTTCCCCTCCTCTGGGAAAGGCCTTATCTTTATCGACACTGATATTGGGTTTAAAACACTAACAACTACAAAACGTGTTTTTGTTAGGGTTGAGAAAAATAAATTCCAGACAAGAACTGAAGCTGAAGTTCCCTAAAGTTTGAAAGACAGTGATGGGCAGTGAACTGTGCTACCATCGCTCCTATTTCAGGCTTCTCTTGCTGTTTAGCCGTAGGGACTGGTGCTTTGCTGGCAGGAGGCAGTTTCTCTGCAGGAGTCAGAGACTGCAAGCCATGGCACGTGTCGCAAAGCCCCAAGGCACCGAGCAACCAGGTCCTTATGTGGCCAGCACAGTGGGACCTTCAGGAGTGGTCCAGGCACTTCCCCTAGCCCCCAGAAGCCACCCCTGAATGGTTTTTCAGGACCTCCCGCCTCCGCTGCCTGGCTGTTTCTAAGGAACCACCACTTGGGCTTCTCCCAGTTGTTGTCCTACGTGGCTCTTCCAGTGCTTTGCCTTGAGCTTTTTTGAATGGCTCAAACCACGGGCCTTCTGTTAGGACCCCTGGGAGACCAAGTCCCAGGCTAATCCACAGCCTGCGAGAGCTAGCAGCATGGCTCTTAATAGTCCGTCCTTAATCTCACTGAAATGAGGTGGAATATTTTGTATTAGCCTAAACAAGAAGCGCGGAATAGCTCTTCTCTCCTATCAGAGATGGGCAGGAGCACGTTGCTTTCTCCTCTCCTGTGCGTGCCTGCCTGATGGCGTGGGCTTCCCTGCAACGGAACAGCTCTTCTATCAGAGATGGGCAGGAGCACATTGCTTTCTCCTCTCCTGTGTGTGCCTGCCTGATGGCGTGGGCTTCCCTGCGTGGCTTTGCTTCTTCTGGCTCTGAAGTCAGCCCGTCCTCACCAAGGGTTTCATAGCTACCGCAAAGGAACAGCAGAAAACAGTGCTTTTCCCAAGGAAAAAAAACACGACCGAGGAAGAGGGGAGGTTCTTGAAGGGGCCTCCTGCGTTTGGACAACAAAAAGTATAACAATAAGGACAGCAAGAGGAGGGAAGAGAGTAAGATGGAGCAGTTAGTTTCATCTTTTTTCATTACTCCATTTTTCCATCGTTCCTTAAGGCAAATTTACGGGTGGATTGAGTTCCACATTCCTAATCTCCTGATTATGTTTTTATTCCTACTTTGTCTCCTCTTCCTTTTCTTGTCTCCATGCCTAGGAGCTAAATCTACCTCTGATCATCAAAGAGTCTGGGCGCTGCTGATGTCTTTTTCTTCTCCAGCCGGTTTCTGTCTGTGGAAGCACATCTGTGACCCACATTTTGCTTTCAAAATCAGCAAAATAGAGGTTTCCAGCTGGTTTCCTTAATCTCCTACTTTTGTTCAGATTTTAAAAGGGTCTCGTGTTTCCTAGCCTCGAGTTCCTGACTAGCCAGGTCAGTGGAGTCCAGCCCATAGGGCAAGTTTGATCTTAACCTCCCAGGGATGGATGGGGAGGTGCCTTGACCTGCCCCCAAACTTCACCAAGGGGGAGTAAAGGAGGGGGGGAATGGAGCAGAGGGAGCATCCACACGAGCAGTGTGTGTCTATCCAAACAGGCACAGGCAAGATGTGTAGGCAGAGGCAGTTTGCAAGTACACAGACACAAAAAAGCCAGAATCCTTTCTCGAGTTAATTCTCCTCCTGCTTCCAAGTACACCAAAAGATCACTTGGTAATGCCAGGGCTGTGAAACGACCGTGAAAATGTAAAATATTTTAGGCCTGCGTTCAACCCATCCATCTTCACACGTATCAGAGGTGTCGGGGGTAGGAAGCTTGTTGCCTTTGGCTTTCTCCGTAGGGAGAGGTGCCTCTGCAGAGGGATTCAGACCTCACAGTGCAGTGGAGAAACAGAGATGCAAAAGCTGACATCCCAGCTCTGTGCCGAATACCCAGCCCAAACTGGACCACGCTTTGGTCCCTCCATCATCAAGATCTGCTCTGTCAGGGACTTATAGAAAAGCAGCACCAAACTCAGAGTAAAAACACCGCAGTGCCTTCCTTCTCACCCTGCCTCGCGTGGGACTGGCTTCTGGTCTCTTTCCCTTGCAAAGGAATGGTCTTTGTGGGATGGTGTCACCTTCCCTGCTGATACTCGCTGCATCCCTCCTGCCAACACACACTTTGCATCGAGAAAACAGTCAGGAAAGTAAGGCCAGATGTTGTTGTGATGTGGTGAACAGCTTCCAGACCGAGCCCCGAGGAGGCAGCGTTGGAAGGGGCTGCACAGAGAGGCTGTGAAGTCTCCCTCCTTGGCACTACTCAGCACTCAGCCA